AGGCTGGCAACATTTCCTCTGCTTTCTTATACTTTCTAGATTCAGCCTGCTTAGTTTATTTAAGCACTGGAAACATTCACTTCCCTTCTTGTTCAGAGGTGAAACTGACTGAAGGTATTAGAAGTTTTACCTCTAACTTCCATGGCTAAAAACCTCACTATCAGTGTGATCTACTACAAACAAACAGAAGAGATTACAAAATTCAGTAAATTGATCTACAGCAGTGGTGCTCAATCTCTCTGCCCCGTGGGCCAGTTGAGTGGCATGAGGTCAGTCCACAGACTGAATGTAGCACAGGTAAGGTGCATGGGTATGATGCAGCACACCAGCCCAGGCCTATGTGCTAGATCCAGCCACAGACTGATCATATGCGCTGGTGCAATACTGTACACAGGACCACATCAAAACAACCCACTAGGCTGCCCTGAGGTCTGGACACCTGGCAGAAGGGGAAAGGTGGCAGCATTAATCGCTGTGGATCTGGAAACAACCCACAACTATAATTCTATAATCATAAGATTAAGAGAAAAATACACATTACAGGTCTCTATTTGTTAATATTTGATGATCTACTTGGCACTGTCAAAGACAACAGAGAAATCATACCGCATTTTCCTAACTCAAAGGATTGGCTGTCCAAGTGGACATCCTGTCCATCCCTTGACAAAAGCAACTAGGAAAGTGTGCGTTTGTAGCAGTGGGCCTAAATTTGTTTCTACAGTCTTGTTTTAAAATATGGAATCAATCATAGCACGGAAATGGAAGTTGGACCCACTTCCTACGAGAAAACAATTTAACAGAGAGATGAGGAAGCAGGAGGAATCTGCTCCCCTCCCACCTTTTGGAATGTTCTTTTTTAACAATAATGTAGCTAATTTGACTCCATAAGAGTCAAATGAAGACCCTGGGACAGTATGCTGTAGTAACCATTGGGACTCCCTCCTTCTCCATGAAGATTTAACTTACAGAAAGCACAAGAAAGTTCTCTCAAATGAAAGGATTTTTTTCCCCCGCATTTGATGCCTGGAAAATGGATTTCACTTAAACTAGATTAGCAGACCCAACTATATGCATGACTTATTTTAAAGTGTCCAACAAAAAATGCAGTAAGATCAAATCAGAGCATTACTGAAATGATAAGGATCAACACCTTATCTTTCTAATAAGATTCTGTGAATGGAAAGAATGTTGTAAAAAAAAGTTTACAAGTTACCAGCAGACAGACATCATTCTAATGACTCTGTAATATAGAAACAAGTACCTGTTCAAACACTGAGACAGAAGTTGAACTCAAAACCGTATTTCTTTTTAAAGAAAAAAAAAAAGGGGGGGGGGGGGGAAGGCTGCCCTACACAATAGGCAATTCCCTGAATTTTAGTTTAAGATTATTATTTCTTCCACAACTTATCTTTTTGTCATCCAGAAAAATATAAAAACAGAAGTGGAAATGTGAACTGAAAAAGCAGAAAGTGCAATGGATTCTTTTATCCATGTTGCATTTTTGAAAGGTAAGAATTTGTAGCAAAGAGGGAAGTATCTGTGTGTAGGCACACATGCTGTGCTGCTCAATAAAAAGGGTCCTGGCAACACAGGAGTGATGTACAGGTTACCCATGAGAAAACCTCTTCCCAATGGACAACCACACTCCACATGAAATGGATACATGTGAAAACCCCCTTTCCCTTACTAAAAGCAGACACTTATGTTTATTCTACATAGAAGTGAACAGAGAAAGCGTTAATTAAAGTTAGAAAGGGAAAGAAATACAATTTAAGATAAGGGGGGGGGAAGCCACTGACTGCATATGATTCGCCTCCATTCTGCCTCGAAAGACATGCAAGCTGGTCTTTCTACCGATTCACAGAGTCAGCATCAGTTTCTAGATACTGACATGTAATCATTCTCCACATCCATATTTGACTGTTCACATATGAGAAGCTACATGCAAATAGTGAGGTACTGCAGGGATGAGTGCTATAAAACTTTTAAACAAAGGCTGCCTCACGCTGTAAAATTACTTGGTACTGAAACATGCCATGTTGTATAACCACAACTCCCATGTGACTTCCTTATAATGTAGTAAGACCATCAAAAGGAAAGCAACACGCCAACAAGTTACAGTTTCCACCAACAGATTTTAGAGAATGAACAAAGCATGCTATTCCTTTAAAGTTTTGGTATATTGTAAGTTAGTTACCATCAAGCGTTACCTAGATAGAAAATAGTTCTTTTAAATGTCAGAAGTACTAAGTCACTGAACACCATTTACCTAAACTTATCTGGAAAAAGTCCTTTTGTCTGTAATTTTCTAAAGTAACATCCTCTAACAAGAGCAAGTACAGAAAACCACTCTGTAGTTTTAAACCTTGTGATTTTTAGTTGTTTTAAGAAGGTAGGATTAATCTAGTCCAAGTCCAAAACTGAGCCAAGTTTCAGATGTCAGAAAAAGAGGAAGAACAAACACCCCAATGTAATTTGCATTTGTCCTTATAAAGCAGCAAGGAATTGTCCTGATGTTAGCCAGAGAACATTTTCATAAGTGCTGCTTATATATTCATAAAATGCCTAGTATCTAAAAAAGAGAGACATGAGTTCTATCATGTAAGGACAAACATCAGATTTTAAAAAGCACAGTACAGCTGGGGAAACTTGCATTTTATGACTAGATTACTGGAAGCTTTTTTTGAAATCCACTTTCAAGAACATTTACAACATAAGATATTTTGTTTTGTCCTAACAGGAAATTTATTTTATTCTATTTTTAAAGTTACTTTAGTACTCATGAGCTAGACTGATGATCCTAGCTGCAAGAGGCGCGCACACAAATTCTTCATGCCATCTCAGATTTAAAAAAAACAAAAACAATAATAAAGATTTAAAATAATTTCTTACTACCAGTTGCTCTTCCAGCATCTAACTTCTGCATCAGTTAGTTATTTTGGAGCGCAGTTTTCATTAAGTGAGGTCTGTTTTCAAGTCCATCACACAATGCTTACATACTGACACTAGATTAAATTAGTGTCCTATCAAACATCTGGAACTGCACTAAACTAGAACATCCACTTTCCCAACTATAGAAATTTTCTCTTGCTACTAAAAGCAAATGCAACCCTATAAGTCAACTCGCATTAAAGCCAACAACATTCAAAAGCTTAAAATCAGAACATACTTCATAACAGGGACAGACTTCTTAAGCATTAACACAGTGATTCTCAACCAGGGAGGTGCAGCACCCTGGGGTACCTTAAGATCCTTTTAGGGTGCCATGGGATGCCACGCAATGTTAGCACTGTTAGGTGCACAAACATGAGTCACAAGAAAAACCCAACAATTAAAAAAAATGTCTGACCTGTGGTCTTTCTAAGTTCTTTGCAATAGAAGAATTGCTGTATTATTTTTCTGTAGTTAAAGAAGTGAAAAACTTTGCTACCATTTTCTAAAGCTGCAGTTCCCAACCCCAGGTAGCAACCCAAATGAGGGCTATGAGGGCAATGCTGGTGGTGCCGCACAGAAAAGACAAGCTGCGCCCTGTGCCAGGAGCTCCCCCACCCCTGCTGCTTCCAGCAGCAGGTCACAGGAAAAAAAGGTTGGGACCTACTGTTCTAAAGAGTGCCAAAGCCTAACAGGAGTGCCTTGAGTCTAAATAGGTTGAGAATCACTGCACTGAGGAATCTTAACATCTGGATATCTACACAAGGGATCTGGAAAAAAGTCAGATTTTCACGCTTGCTGTTTAACTGGTAAATCTTAAGTGAGACAGTTCTTCCCTCCTCAGTACACCACACTCTATGGAGTGGGAACCTTCAAGTGCTTCCACACTAGTGACAAGAACTATTAAACAGCTTAAAATCAGATATGTGACTGTGATTTTGCAGTGTCATTTTTAAACCACAACCCATGCATAGCTACCATTAATAAAGCAGAAGAAAAAGGTCAGTTGTTTGGGGTTTTTTTCTTAACAAGTCACAGGCACCATCTCCCCATCCAACTACTGATTTGTTCAGTTGTGTTATCCTCCCCTCACTGCCCTGGCCCTCCACTCTCCATCCCCCCACCCCACCAGCCTGCTTTTCTCTCTCCTTATACCCAGCCATGTGCGCACATCCTTACACAGAATCTGATTAAATGACCTTTAACCCACAAAAGTGTGTGCGCACATGCATACACATATGTGCATGTGTGTAATTACACACACACACACACACACACACACAAAAGGTACCTTTGCAAAAGTCATGATGATTAAGTTGTGGGAACAGCACGGCAGCCATTGAGGGCAGCCGTACAGACGCGTGTCTCTCTTTCCCCAACGGCTAACCTGCTGTTCACCCAACACAGTCACCATGACTTTGTCAAAGGTACCTTTTCCCCTTATTTGCTTTACTTTTTCCCTTTACATTTTCTTTTAATCCTGTAGGTGCTCTCTAAGCAGGCACCCTGCAAGCTGAATTGCTTTATCTTTTTCCAGGGGCAATCTAGTTGCAAGAAATCCTGCTCCTCCATACATGGGGGGAGGTCTAAACACATAGTTTTGTATGTATATGCACATACAAATAAAGCCGTGTGTGTGCACATATATAAAAACACACCCTGATCCTTCAAAATCACGGTTGTAATTATGGTTGGGTTTGTGTAAAATTATGTAACACACACACACATACAACCACGAGTTTGAAAGTGTGCATGCATGCGCATGTATAAACACCCCACTCCTTCAAAATCAGGGTTGCGTGTAAAGTTATAAATTTTGCGCACACACAACCCTGATTTTGAAGGAGTCGGGGTGTTTTACACACACACACACAGCCAGTCATGTGGGTACGCAGCTAAACAGACATGTCAAAACAGCTATGTGTATGTAATTTTACACACCAAGCCATGATTTTGAAGGAGGGCATGTGTACACAGACACACAGGGTCCCCCAACCCTTGCTCTTTCACAGCTCCCGGGGCTCCCACGGGACACCGCCCTCCTGCCCCTTCCCCGTCCGGGCACTCACGAGACGTAGGCGGGGTAGGCGAAGCCGATGAGGTTGCAGAGCA